CCCCGCCCTGACCCTCGCCCTCTGCAGATGACCTGGCCGAGGAGATGGAGGACGTGGACTTTGAGGACGAGGGGGCAGAAGAGCCCGATGGCGAGGCTTGGGAGTCGGAGGATGACGAGGGGGTGGAGGACGGCATGGAGGCACAGGACGACAGCGAGGTCACGTTCTCGCTCCACTCGGGTGAGTGCTGGGCACGGGCAGAAGCAGCTGGGACCCCCCTCGGGACCTGGTCTCGTCTTGGCTTTCTCCAGAGTCCAGGGGTGCAGAGTGCCTTGCTCGGCTGCTGTCTCCCAGCCTTCTTGGGACTCAGAGCTGCCCTGGGCTTGTTTCTGCCTTGTGCTCTGACAGAAGAGCTCTTTGGGCCCCCCATTCCATTAGTAGCTGGCCCTAAGCTCGGCAGAAAGCCTGTGCTTCTCCTCTCCCACGTGAAGAATTGGTTCCTACTGGGTTGGGTTGAGAGTTCAGCTTGCTGATGTCCCACCCAGGCCCAGTGCTGCACGGGGTTTGGGTCCCCTGGGAACATCAGGTGAGGGGCGATCAGCACCGTAGCCATGCAGCCTCTCTTTGCTCTTTTGTGAAGATTCTGTCTTCTGTGTGAGCCTTGACCCCAAGACCAACACGCTGGCAGTGACAGGCGGAGAGGATGACAAGGCCTTTGTGTGGCGCGTGAGTGACGGGGAGCTCCTCTTTGAGTGTTCAGGTGAGGTGCAGTGAGCAGCTGTGTCCCCTCTCAGCAGTGCCTATCTGCGCACATTTCCCTCCAGCTGATGCTGTGCTCCTGGCCATCTTCCATGGCTTGGCCTGAGCAGTCTCTGTCCCCTGATGTTTACAGGACACAAGGACTCGGTCACCTGTGCTGGCTTCAGTTACGACTCTGTGTTCGTGGCCACAGGTGACATGTCTGGGCTTATCAAAGTGTGGCGGGTGGATGCCAAGGAGGAGGTGTGGTCCTTTGAGGTGGGGGATTTGGAGGTGAGTGGTGCTGGGAAGGGTTCCCCAGCCAGCAAGTGGGGTGGCAGCACTTGGGTGACACTGCCTGTCCCTCTCTCTGCCCAGTGGATGGAGTGGCACCCTCAAGCCCATGTGCTTCTGGCTGGTACAGCTGATGGCAACACCTGGATGTGGAAGATTCCCAGTGGGGACTGCAAGACCTTTCAGGGTCCAGCATGCCCAGCCACATGTGGCAGGATCCTGCCTGATGGTGAGGCACAGGGCCTCTCTGGAGTGTGAAATGTCACCAGCTCTGTGTGGGCCATCTGCCCTCCTGCTTCTCCCAGGCTGTGCTGAATGGGAGGCAGGGGATGGGGGGCCCTATTTGCTATCTCTGTCTGCTATTTCTGTCTCACCCAGGGAAGCGAGCAGTGGTGGGGTATGAGGATGGGACCATGCGCATCTGGGACCTAAAGCAGGGAACCTCGCTGCATGTCCTGAAAGGTAAGGAAGAAGGGAGAGGTTTATCACCTAGGCTGCTCTCTGTTTGGTAAACACCCCCTTCTAGCGGGCTCTGACTTCTGCCTGAGTGGAGAGGAGGTGTCTGTGAGGGCAGGAGAGAGAGAGCCTGGCACAGGGTTTCACTGTCACAGTGGTGGCTGTTGCTTGTGGGGGTGCTGGCACAGCCAGGCAGGGTGGAGGCTGCAGGATGGTGTTTCAAGGCTCACTGGGGCTCTGTGGGGAGGGCATATAAAGCTCATTCCTGCTGCTCACCCCCCAGGCCAGGATGGCCATCAGGACCCCTTGACGTGTGTGGCCAGCAACCAGGATGGCAGTTTGATCATGACGGGCTCTGTGGACTGTCATGCCAAGCTGATCAACTCTGCTACGGGCAAGGTGCGTCTGTGGGGGCTGGGCATAGCCGGGAGCGCTGGGGACCCCCCAAGTCCCCTGTCCTGGGCCGGGGCAAAGCCAAGAGCTCTGGGGACCCCTCACATGCGGGGCCGGTGTGCGGCCATCGGCAGCCGGCAGGCGGCGCCCTCGCGCTGCGGGTGAAGGCGGGCTCGGAAGGAAGTTCTGTCTTGTTTGCTCCCGGGAGCTGAGGATTTGGGGCCGCGCCTTGTTCTAATGAAGGCGCAGACTCGGTATCGAGTACGAACGGGACCTTTGTGCATCTGGGTCTCCTTTCCTTGGGGTATAGCCACCCTCCCTCTACCCAGGTGGTGTGCGTGTTCAAGATGGAGAGCGTGACCCCCAAGGCACCCATCAGTGAGGGCGAGGAGGCAGAGTCCAACTCAGTGGAGTCGCTGGGCTTTTGTAATGTGTGAGTGTTGGGACAGCCCCTATTCAGTGCTACATCTTACAGGGCTTGTCATACAGATCCATTTGCATCCCTTGAGCTCAATCTGCTGCATTTCTCTTGCCTCCATCCTCCCCCGCTGGGTGTGGAGATGCCAGATCCCTTTGGTATGAGGCCAAGGGACACCAGCTGCTCAGTCCTCCCTGCAACTGTTGGGATTCTGGGCTAGCCTGATGGACCAGTGCTTGGCTGGGATACTCTGCAGACAGCTGTTCTCTTGCCAGGACATTGTCATCTTCACAAACCATGGGCTGATAGCTCACTTGCTGTACCTTTGGATTTCCCAAGTGGGGTGTTTGATGGCTCCAGCCATCAGGTTGTCCCTCATCTTCTCCATACATTGTAGCCTTCAGCATAGGGTTTGCCTTTTACCTGGAGCCTTTATGTGTTTGCATAACTGCTTCCCGATGTCCCATGTAATGCCTCTTCCCTTGTCTGTAGGATGCCACTGGCTGCTGTGGGCTATCTTGACGGCACACTGGCTATTTACGACCTCTCCACACAGAGCCTGAGGCATAAGTGCCAACATGAGGTACTGCCCTCCCTCCCCACCCAAGCCTGGGAGGTGGGTTTGGGCCTTCTGGAGATCTCCCTTGGAGCCCAAGGGCCAGTTCCCAATTTGTACTTCTCCCTTAGCCTTGGGCTTCCCCAGAGGGCAGCCGCAGTCTCTGCAAAGCGGATGTGCTTGGCCCTGGGGTCTGGCTCTCCTGGGGGGATGGCAGACACCATGAGGGGGTGGGGGTACATGGGGGGAGCTAAGCCTTGCTGGAGGTCCCCACTGCGGTCTCCCCCTGTCCCAGTCAGGGATCGTGCAGCTGCTGTGGGAGGAGAGCTCGGCCGTGGTGTACACCTGCAGCCTGGACGGGGCCGTGCGGCTCTGGGACGCCCGCTCGGGGAAGATGATCAGCGAGTACCGAGGGCACTCTGCTGAAATCCTCGACTTCGCTGTCAACAAGTGAGCAGGCACCCCCAGACCCCTTCCCTGCTGGTGGGGGGAGCAGTGGTAGCAGGGGCCTCCAGCCTAAGAGCTCATATCACAAGCTGCCTCTTGAGTGCCCTTGTGATCTGGTCCCAAGGTGGGGGACAAACCTAGGTCCATGCTGACACTTCAGGGTCTCAAAGGGGAGTGCAGCACTTCAGAGCTGGGCTGGGGGTGATGGATACTGGAAGCCGCCAGCCCACCTCTGAGCCCTGTCTCCCTGCAGGGATGCCTCCATTGTGGTGACCACCTCTGGCGACCACCAAGCCAAAGTGTTCTGCGTCCAGCGGCCTGATCGCTAGAACTGTGTCAAGGGACGGCGTCCCGGCGCTGCCCTGCGCCCTGTGTACAGAGGGACGAGGGACATGGTTTCACCACCCTTCTCCAGTGCGTGCTTTGTAATTTTTCCAGCCTGCCCTGCTTTGCCCTCACCATCCAGGGGCCAAGCCAGGGGTTTTGTATGAAGATGTCTTTAATTATATAAATTATTTCACTTAACTGGATGCCATCTACTCTGCTTGTTGGGGGGGGAAGAGGATCTGGGGAGCTATGCTCTCTCCTCAGGGATCTCCCTGGCATCCAACTATGGCCTGAGGATCAGTGGCAGAGACTCCCATCCTAGCTCTCCCTGCTAGGGAGAATGAAGTGGTCAGGATAGGAGGGTGCAGGTTGCTAGCTGAAGGAAGGAGAATCTTGCTCTGTACAGTCTA